GTTTTTCAACCTTTTTTATCTCATGGCACACTTGAACCTATAGTTAAACTTCTATGGCATACTTAAATTATATTGACCAAAAAAAAAAAAAAAAAAGAAGAAGAAGAAGAATATACTTATTGTGCTTTGAAGTTCTTTCAAAAACAATTTAATTAATGCTCTTTAAAATTTTTCTCAGCACACCCAAGTATGTCATGGCACATCCAAGTGTGTCCTAGCACTGATCTAGGCTGAAAATCTGTCTGATGACTTTTTCATGGTTGTAGTATCTCCAAGACAGGCAATTATTTCTCCCACCCACAACCCCTCAATTGTCAATATCAAGTCAGATTTCGTTTTGGTTTTCTGGGAGTTAGATTGCCTGAGTTGCCTTCTAGCTTTGTCTTTATATAGGAAGGGTCTATATATAGTGAAGGGTCTGCCATTATATTCCTTGTCTGAGGTAGGTATTAGACTTTCACTTTTGAACTTTGTACCCTGAGAGGCCATCAAAACAGATACTAAATTCACTTAATTTGGAAATGACTGTCTTGTAACATCAACTTCCATGTCCTGTTACCTGTCCAAGTATATACTTTTCTTTATATTTTGCACTTAAGTTCTAACTATCTTATCAATTATTTGATGCCTTACAGAATTTGATTTTATATTTTGTCTGTAATTTCAGTTTTTTTTCTTTTTAAAACCAGGTGATTTCTTAGCCTCTCATATTATCATTAATAGAACTTTAATATGGATTTTGAAAAATCAAATCAATATAGAACAGCTGTCAAGAACACCATCTCTGGAGTCACACTGTCTGGCTTTGTCAGGGTTCAAGCACTTGTTTGTGTTCTCTGTTCCTGATGTGCTCTTGGCGGAAGAATGACCAGACCCACCAAAAGCAAGGCAAGCATGAAACAAAGTTTATTGAAGAAGAGAAAGATAGATTTACAGCTCTTGCAAATTACTTCATTGTATTTCACTTTTCTCATTCTTAAAGTAATAGTACTTTCCTCATAATGCAGGAAAAGCAGTACACTTTCATCACTTAGCACCATTATGATTACATCTCTTTGAGAACTGGTAAGAGAGAAAATGAGAAATAACAAGAGTTGAGAACAGAGTGAGCTCTATGGGCACAGGGAATGAATAAATTAAAAGTTTGTGTGTGGGGGGAATCATATAAAAAGAGGTTATATTAAGCATTTCTTGCTGTACACTATTAAATATAATTCACCTCTTTCCATTTTTTTCGAAAAATCTTTAGTAAAGGCCAGGTGGGGTAGTTCACACCTGTTACCCTAGTACTCTGTGAAGCTGAGGCCAGTGGATTGCCTGAACAAAGGGAAACCTGTCTCTACTAAAAATAGAAAAGCTGGCCAGGCATTGTGGTGGCACCTCAGGAGGCTAAGATAAGAGGATTGCTTGAGCTCAAGAGTTTGAGGTTGCTGTGAGCTATGATGCCTCAGCACACTACCCAGGGTGAGTGAGATTCTGTCTCAAAAAAATAAAAAATCATCAGTAAAGATCTACTTTACTTTTCAGTGTCTTTTTGTTTGTTTTGTTTTGTCCCCCCACCCCACTACTAGCAGGATTTGTGGGTTTGGAGGCGAGGACAGGGGTGGATGTTATACTGTACCAAGACTGATTTCTGGGTGGTTCGATCTTATTACATAATGGTATTTACCTACAGGAGTCAGCAAGTCCACCGCAAGGACTGTAGTGTTTAATAAGCATCTCCATTGCTTTGACGATCTGCCTGAAACATATTAAGTAGGCAAAGGCTGAGAACTACTTACTGCATGACAGGCACTATAAAAATCACCTGTAATCCTACCAACTAAAAGGTAAACTTTTTGTTGATATGAATAACAATTATAAAACACTGTCACATTACACTCAATATTCTGTAGTCAGTTTTTTTCCTCACTTAGTAATACAGCATCAACATTTTTGTTATGTGATATTGTTACCTGAATTTCTTTCTTCAGTAGGTCCCTGGTCCCTGGGCTTGGAAGAATGAACCCACGGACCACAGGTCAGTGGTAAGATAGGATTTAATATACAGAAAACAATACAGAAAAAGCACCAGAGCTCCTGGCAGAAAGACCCAAGTGGGAAAATCTCCGTCTGGGTCCTTTGTTTAGGGGTATATATAGTCCTCTTTGTCTTTTGTAGTTACCTTTGGCCAGGACCTGGTAACAAATGAATGGATACAGTCCTTCCCGGTTGGGCAAGGTGAACAAGCACATTAACTAAGGATACAGTCCCTTCAGCTCAGGGCAAGGTCAAAGAGCCATTCCCTGCAGGAAATTGTCCAGGCCTAGGAAATGGCAAATGCTCATAGGGGAGTAGCGCAGACAGAGGCTCTTTAGGTCCAAGGGTGAGGGTTGGCACCGACAGCAGCATGGGCCGTATCATGGTTTTCCTCAACTAAGGACCCGCCTGCTTCCGCGGAGCTCGCCCCTCTGCCGCACTTGGTTCTCCAGCCCTTGCCTCCCCGCGACTCGCCACACTAACACCCCTAGGGCTGCGCTGCAGAAGGCTAGGCGGGTCCTCCCGGGCAGCCCGGCACGCCCGAGTCGGGCGCCGCTGCCCTGTATCAGTATCCCTACAGGATAAGTCCTAGTGGATGCTAGAGCTAACGCTACGCTGTATGAAGCATCATACTTTACTCAACTACTCTCGTAGTGTTGGAGAATTTAAATAAGGCTTCATTAAACATATCTGATTATTTCCTTAGAATAAATTCTTAGTAGAATTGCAGCTCGAACTAAATTTGGTGCTGTCCACCGTTATGATGATAAACTTCAGAATATCCAGTCATGCCCTCATCTGCCATCAGCTCACTCAGGATCCACTCTCACGCAGAGAAGGGCCTTTTCCTGACCGCCCTGTGCCTCCGCTCCACCGGTCCTTGTCTAGCTGGACCACAAAGCTCGGCCTTAGAAGTTGTGGCGCCGGCGGAGGGGAAGTGGGAGGGTTGCTGACAGTCCTCCACCAGTTGGAGGCGCTGTGCGGTCCAGGACGAACCAGGATGCCGCTCTCCATTGGCGGACGCTCTTCCCGCTAGTTCCGCGTCGCCTCTGCGGCTGCGGGTTTGAGGAAGTGTTTCTAGGAGACCGCGGCAGGCGGCTGCGCTTGCGTGGTTAGCGCTACCGGGGGCGGGCTGACGGACCGAGGCGCTGGCCGGGGGAGCAAGTTCCCGCGGCTCTGGGTGGCTGTCACCGCCAGGTTTCTCTAACCTCATGGTACGTCCGTGAGGCCGGCTGCCGGTAGACGTCTCCGCAGGATGGAGCACATCCGGACCACTAAGGTAGTCGGGTGTGGGAGAGCGATTAGCCGCTCGGCCGGTCTGACCCAGCAGAGACAGGAGGCGACGAGGGCTCGCCTGGCCTGCCTAGGACTGGGAACTGGTGGGGTGGGGATCTGGCCTCGGACCGAAGGGGCCTGGCCAGGCCTGATCTGGGAGGGCAGGTCAGCTTTGGCCGAGGGTGGTGTGGAGGCCTTCTGACCTACAGAGGACGGGGTTTCTTTCTCAGTACCTTGGGGTGCTCGAGGGTAAGTACGGGAAAATTGGTCGACGCCCTCTTAGTTGTAAGCTTGCTTTCTTTCCTCCCCCCCCCCCACCCGCCCCGCCTGGAGTGGGGGGAAAGCAAAATTGGAAGTGCTTTCTCTTTGGGGGCTTTCAACTGTTCACTGCTTCTCATACTGGAAGACCAGCGGGTCTTCACATTAATATTACGGTGTCGTGTAAGCTTTCCTTTGCTCACGTTTCATTGTTCCGTGTCATAGATAAGTGATGGAAGTTTTAGAGAAGCCGAGATCAGCACTCTTGACTTCCTAGCCTCAATATCATTCATTTATTAGGTATTTCCGCCTCTGTGCTTCAAAGTTGAGGCGTTACATTCAGTGGTCAGCTCAATAGAGGAGTTACGGAGAAGAGAAAAATGTTATCCCATATTTTAAAAGGATGGAACTGTTTTCGATTGAACTTAATTCCATTATTTCTTATTTGCGAAAGATATTTACTTTGAGAATGTACGAATATTTTATAACATTACAAATTTTAAAACCTAAGGAAATGACATCAGAATATTACCAACTTACTTTTCCAACATTAAAATTAAACTTCAATTTTGGCAGGGAAAAAAACATAAGTCGGGACCAGAAGAACTAAGTAGCATTTTAAGATTGTTTTGGAACTTGTCAATTAGGGGGAAGCCCCCCTGACTTTAACTCTCCGGGTTTCCCCCAGGCCAAAACCGTCAGTCAATTGCTACGTGTCTTAAAGTTACAGCTGGTTTGGGGAACCTGGCAGACTTAATGTTATCTCCATTGTTCCAATGAGAATTTGAGATCTGTGTCTTTAAAGTATTTAACTATACTGTACCCTGACAAAATTGAATATGCTAGAAGCTGACCCTTTATAAAATAATCTTTCTTTCTTTCTTTCTTTCTTTTTTTTAACAGAAGAAAGGTAAAGTTGCTGGCACTCAAAGTTTGAAAATATAAGGGTGATTAAGCCTATAACCAGACTAGTAGAAGGCACAAAGGTGGCAGGTTTTTGTCTATTGAAGTTTTTGTCCTAGTTCCAGGGTTCCAGATGTGTTTTATATAGTAGCGGTGTGCTTATGACTTCTTTCTGCACCAGTTTGAACTTCATCTTTGCATCTTTTTTTTTTTTTATCTGAATCATGGGGCAGCGCCTGTGGTTCAGTGAGTAGGGGTGCAGGCCCCATATATCCAGGGTGGCCCCGGCCAAATTGCAATTAAAAAAAAAAAGCCAGGCGTGGGGCGGGCGCCTGTAGTCCCAGCTACTCCAGAGGCTGAGGCAAGCGCCTAAGCCCAGGAGTTGGAGGTTGCTGTGAGCTGTGTGACGCCACGGCAGTCTATTAAGGGCGATAAAGTAAGACTCTGTCTCTACAAAGAAAAAAAAAATCAAACACGCTAATAGAATTTATCTTGTTTGTGCTTGCTACAGTGGATAGCATACAATTGAAAACCAGTAAACGTGAACTGAATCTAATCAACTAGAACAAACCCTATTCTTTGGTGAATGGTAAGAGTTAACAGACTCTTGGAAAATACATGTATTTGGATCCTTTGGGTATTTTAAGGCTTTTCTCCTTCAATTTATAATAACACAGGGTGTTCATAAAGTTCATGTGCAGTGTAAAATAGCCAACTATTTTGTTTTTATTGTACGGTTGTAGCCCTTTTTATTATCATCTTGAAGGTTGTTACTGTTGATTTGCATTTGGTCTGATATTTCTCTTTAATTTCTGATTTAAATTTAGCTTTCCACAGTGGACCCATGCTGGTGGTTTAATAAGGCCCTCTTATGCCTTTTAAAGATTTAATTTAATTTTGAGACAGAGTATCACCCTGTCACCCTCGGTAGAGTGCCATAGCATCATAGCACACAGCAAACTCAAACTCTTGGGTTCAAATGATTCTTTTGCTTCAGCCTCCTGAGTAGCTGGAACTCTCAGTGCTGGCCACAGTGTCCAGGTAGTTTTCCTGTTTTTAGTAGAGACAGAAAAGACCAACCTCTTGCTTAGGTTGATATGGAACCCCTGAGCTCAAGCAATCCATCTTCCTCAGCCTCCCAAAGAGCTAGGATTTATAGGCCTGAGCCACTACACTGGCTCATGCTTTTTTAAAGACTGAAAGATTTCTGACTAATTCAGTATTAAAACTACTTCTCAAATATGCTCCTTTATTACTTTGGGTTGCTTTGGACCACTACTCTGGAGTGATCTGAAGTAGTGTATGTAGACTGCAATTAAATATTTGCTAGGTATCTATTATGTGCCAGACACTGTATAGACACTGGATATACAATAGCAAGGTAGACATGGATCTCATATATATTCTGATAATTGTATGGATGGTAACATTTTCTTAAAATATTAATCTATTGGGAAGATAACTTATTCTTAAAAGGTTGATTTGAACATAACCAACCTTTTTTTCTCATTTTCACCTAGACATAGTCAATTTGCTGCAAAAATAATTATAAGTATTTCAGAATCAAAAATGAATGACTTTTGGTTTATTAGCTATTTTGAACCTTATATAGTTAAGTCAGTAGATCAAGAATTGATCAAGTAGGCGTGGTGCCTATGGCTCAAAAGGGTAGGGCGCCGGTCCCATATGCCAGAGGTGGCAGGTTCAAACCCAGCCCCGGCCAAAAAAAAAAAGAATTGATCAAGTAAATATACATAAATATGACTGTTCAGTGATTTGTTCTCTGTTCAGAAAGTTATATTTGAAAAGTAATTCCATTTATTGGAAACTATCATATAAACAATCATACAATATTTTTGTAACTTCATAATATGTATATGTATAATTTCACAAATATGTTCATTTATACTGTTATAGGGTGAGATAAGGACCACCTACTCAAATTAGAAGTTCAAAAGGAGTCTTTTATTTACCACGGGGCTGTCTCAGCAAAGTCTGAGGCAGCCTAAGTGAGAGAGCATTGAGGGGTCTGAAGTTGGGGTTGTTATAGTCTGAAAGTTGGCCAAGGGACAAACAGGTGGGCTAAAAGTTGGCAAAACAAGCAAAAAGCAAGCGTGGGATCATGATGACCCCTTTTACAGAAGTGAACATTGCAATTTAATGGATTAACAGATAGGTAACATAAAGGTCACGTAAAGCAGATTTGGCAACACATCAAGCAGATCTGGCAATTAGTGAACAAGTAAAACAATTTGTCATAGCACTTAGCTTGTTAACTCTCATCATGACAGTACTTGGCCCATTAGTTCTTATCTTGTTCTGTTCCTGCCCAATCTGGACCAATCTAAGAGTAATGGTGCCTGTCATCATTTCAGAATTATGGTAGTCTCATCTTTTGTCCTTTTATCTTTTATCCTGGTGCAAGCCGGGTGGCGGGGCCGTATCCCCTGGTGCAAGCCAATGGTGGGCGGTATCCATCTTACGGGGGTGATGAAGCTGCTGTCACCCATCTCAATATAGTATTACACAGTTCACTTATACATTGTTGTACAGTATTAATGTCTTAAAAAACCCTGTTGGTTGGGTATTATTATTTCCATTTATAGATAAAGAAGAAATAGCCCTAGACAGTTTTGAGTAACCTGATCAGTTAGCTCAAGAGGGGTGAAGTTTGGGTTTAAAGTACATTTAAATTTAGTTTGTCTAACTATGTATGCTTTTTCCAGTGCCTCTCTAGTTTTAACCTAATTTTTAAATTTGTATGTAATATTAATTCAAAAATAAATGCTAATAGTAATTTTAAGGACTTTTTCTTCCCTAAGCCTCTTGTCAGAAGTAAATGATATTTACGTATACTGTTTTTTATAATGTTTAGGATCATTATTTACTGCTTTGTTTTAAAATTTTTTCAAGACAGAGTCTTACTTTGTTTTCCTGGGTAGAGTGCTGTGGCATCATAACTCATTGCAACCTCAAACTCTTGGGCTTGAGCGATCATCTTGCCTCAGTTTTTCTATTTTTAGTAGAGACAGGGGTCTCACTCCTGCTCAGGCGAGTCTTGAACTTGTGAGCTCAAGCGATGCACTTGCCTTGCCTCCCAGCGTGCTAGTATTACACACGTGAGCCGCCTTGCCTATCTTTTATTTACTGCTTATTAACCAGGGGTTTTAACCAGGGATATTACCAGAGTAATATTTCAACTAAGTACTAATTAGTTCTAAAATTGAGGAACAGAGATATCTTCTTGTCTTAGTCGCATTTGGTTTACTAACTGTGTAGCATTAAGAAAGATGTCAAGTCCCTGAATTTGAATTTCTGAAAGAACATTTGCAAGCTATACTTATGAACTACATAGCTACTGCCTATCACTTTGAGCTCTAATTTTGCTGTAATGAGTTAGTCCTGCCAAGAAACAATGAGAAATATGCAGAGGCCATCCTTTTTTATGCAGTCTTTCTCCTTTCCCTGCCAGGCTCCAGAACTCTAGCTGACATCATATATTGATGTTGAATGATACTGTGCTGTCTGTGTATGGAACTTTACAGAATGGAATGGAAGAATTTTTTTTAAAGCTATAAATGAAAAGCTGCTTCCTGGAGTTTGTTAAAGAATGAAACGTCCCATAAAAATGTGATCCTACCAGAAATCAAATTGAGTTATTCCAAAAGTAATGCCCAATTTCTTCTTTAGCTCACTCCCCTGTTTAGTCATTAGAATGCATCATACATGAGTGTGTACAAGTATACAGAGGGAAGGACATATAAAACTAAGAATGGATCAAGAATAAAACTGATATTAATTAAATTGTCTTTGAAATAAGAGCCATTAGATTTTGAGGAGTAC